CGAGGATCCATTGACCTATAAGAAGGCAATGGAAGATACTGACAAGGACAAATGGGTCAAAGCAATGGACCTGGAAATGGAGTCGATGTACTTCAATTCCGTTTGGGAACTTGTAGATCAACCTGACGGGGTAAAACCAATAGGGTGCAAATGGATCTACAAGCGAAAACGAGACGCCGAAGGAAAGGTACAGACCTATAAGGCGAGACTTGTGGCAAAAGGCTACACACAAAGGGAAGAGGTGGATTATGAAGAAACCTTCTCCCCTGTAGCTATGCTTAAGTCTATTAGAATACTTTTGTCCATTGCCACATATTATGACTATGAGATATGGCAAATGGACGTCAAGACTGCTTTTCTGAATGACAATCTTGAAGAAAGTATTTATATGTCTCAACCCGAAGGGTTCATAGAACAAGGTCAAGAGCAAAAGGTTTGCAAGCTTAAACGGTCCATATATGGACTCAAACAAGCATCTCGATCTTGGAACATAAGGTTCAATATTGCGATCAAATCTTATGGTTTTGACCAAAACGTTGATGAACCTTGTGTATACAAGAAGATCGTCAACAACATCGTAGCCTTCTTAGTGTTGTACATGGATGATATCCTACTCATTGAGAATGATGTAGGATACCTCACTGACATAAAGAAGTGGCTAGCGACTGAGTTCCAAATGAAAGATTTGGGAGAAGCTCAGTATGTTCTTGGCATCCAAATCCTAAGGGATCGTAAGAACAGAACATTAGCCCTGTCTCAAGCAACTTATATCGACAAGATGCTTGTTCGATATTCGATGCAGAATTCCAAGAAAGGTTTGTTACCCTTCAGGCATGGAATTCATCTGTCTAAGGAACAATTTCCTAAGACACCTCAAGAAGTTGAGGATATGAGACGTATACCCTATGCTTCAGCAGTGGGCAGCCTGGTGTACGCTATGCTGTGCACTAGGCCTGACATTTACTATGCGGTAGGGATAGGCAGTAGGTACCAATCCAACCCAGGAAATGATCACTGGACTGCTATTAAGGGAATCCTCAAGTATCTTAAGAGAACGAGGGACTACAAGCTCGTGTATGGCGCTAAGGATTTGATCCTTACAGGATACACTGACTCTGACTTCCAAACAGACAAGGATTCAAGGAAATCCACGTCGGGGTCAGTATTCACTCTTAACGGAGGAGCGGTAGTTTGKCGAAGCATCAAACAAGRATGCATCGCAGACTCCACGATGGAGGCTGAGTATGTTGCAGCTTGTGAAGCAGCAAAAGAGGCGGTTTGGCTTAGAAAGTTCTTGACAGATTTGGACGTCGTTCCAAACATAAACTTGCCCATCACACTTTATTGTGATAACAGTGGTGCTGTGACAGATTCTAAAGAACCTCGAAGCCATAAGAGAGGCAAACACATCGAAAGGAAGTACCACCTTATACGGGAGATAGTGCAGCGAGGAGATGTGATTGTCACGAAGATCGCTACAGAGCACAATATTGCTGATCCTTTTACAAAGGCACTCACGGCTAAAGTGTTTGAGGGCCATCTAGAAAGTCTAGGTTTACGAGTTTTGTATAGTTCGTCTAGGGCAAGTGGGAGAAATGTAATTGGGTATAGTGTATGCCCTAGTTTATTGTATTTTCCATTTGCTTTATGATAATGTACACCTACTCGAGTTTAGTTCAAGTGGGCGTTTGTTGGGTGTGTTGCCCTAAACTCGTAGTTTGTATTTTGTAAAAACAAATGTCTATTTAATAAAGTTTTATTCAATAAATTTGTTGTTGAATCATAGCTTTGCA